ATATATATATATTTCATTTAGATATACACATGTATTGGGCACATTGCCCTTGTGGAAGGGATGTTCTATGTGCATTGTCCTGCAACACATTCTTGTCAAGATGCCTCAATGGCAGGGCGAACCATGCTCCCGTCGGATGCAGTGCTTTTCTCTGCTGCGGACTTGACGTTCTCGTATAAAGCCACTGCAGGCCCAATATTTTGCAACACCTGAATTGCGTTTATAGAGTCTTTTTAATATGTATAGTCTTTCACTAAAAAAAGAAGGCTTTACCGTACCCATCAAGACACCTTAAAACACAGACCTGCTGGAATGACGCTTAGGCACAGCTTTGTAGCCTCCGCGGTATGTTGGACCACTTGTTCCAGAGGAGTCTGAGCCTTCTTCGTAGCACCCCGCTCGCTCAGATCGATTGAGTGAGAGTCTACCTGAAGCTGTCACCCCACCCGACACCCTTTCATATGCCCGTCACTTAGAACAGTGGTAAAATAATCTTCACACCAGGTTTGAACAATATATATATATATATATCCATATATATATATCCAAGGTACTTATGTCCTTGCAGGACGGTCCAACCATTATGCAATCCACACCCATTGTATCACTTGTGATCTCGTGGGTGCAGCTGCATCGGTAGCAGAACCCAGCCCCCTTCGCAAAGCACTCCACATCTCCAAAGACATGTCCAATGTTGGGGAAGCCGTCCAGAATGTACTGGCGCTTCCCTGGATGGATCTCTGCTGCAAAAATGTGTGCAAAGCCAATATCAACCTGGCAGCTTTCACTTAGAACATCCTTAAAGTATCACTTGGAGGTGTACCAGAAAGAAACAAGCACAAAAAAACTAAGCACGGTAAATATATTACCTAGGAACCTTGAACTCTTGGTTGATAGCTGCCAGCATTGCCTGAACAGCGGTGCTTCCAACCTCTGATCCGGAGCAGGTTGTTCCAAACCTGATTCTACAGCCGTCCAACTGCTTTGCTACGTCTTCTACTTTTTCACGGTTCTTTGGTGACAGCAAGCGCAGGAAAAAGTGGCTGGTAGAATACAATGACGGTGATGGAGCAGCTTTCACATCAGCCACTTGGAACAGGGTCTTCTTCTTGACTTGGAAGTGGCGGTTCCTGAATTTGGCACTGGCAAACTGAATGGGGACAGGCTCATCCAATACTGACATTGAGCCGATCTTCCAAGCAAAGGAAGGCCTCTCTCGATCTTTGGAACGAATTCTGGTTGCCCAAAACTCCCTGTCCGCTTTGGTAGGCATGCAGTCTTTGTATGGATGGTAGTGCTTGGCCAAATCGCTTGAGACAATGACCATTTTCCCCACATAGAAGCAGCTGGTTCCAGTGTCGGGAACGGCAAGCACGTGGAAGGTTTGAGGACAACTCCTCAAGCTGTAGGTGCGCATAATAAAGCTTTCACATTGGTCGGCATTTTGGTCGGCAAAGAAGCTGAAATGGCTTTCTTTAAGCATGAGACAGTTGACATTTCTGTCTGGGCAGCCTGGTGTTCCCTTTGCACGTTCCAAGGCTGTGGAACCTGCTGGTGGTGTCTCTGGCTCTTCTAATCGCTGGCTTTTTGATCTTTTGGGATCTTGAAATCCACTTGGATGCTGCTGATCCGCCTTCCGCTTGTCTCTGATGTTTTTCTTCAACTCGTGCAAAGCACGCTCACCCTCAGTTTTCACATCCTGCTTTGCTGGTGCTGCTGCGGGTCCTGCCAGTCTAGAGAGAGCTACTATTGAACCTGAGTGCAATGTTCGCAACTTCCACGGTGAGAACGTCCGTAAGCGTTTTTTTGTCTTGGACTTTGCTGCTGTAGATCTGCTCTTCCCACTCCCACTCCAGCACTCTTTCTTCACAGTCACTGGTGTTGCTGTACTGCTGACACTCAAGCATTGTTCTTTCTTGACAGCCCCTGCCAAAGGTACTGGGCTTTCTTCATTTGCTCGATCTGCTGCTGCAGGTGCTCGAAACGATGGCTGGCCTACCTGTGCATGCTGTTCATCGGCTGCTGTAGGTGCTGGCTTCGCATCATTTGCTGGTGGTGATGGTGAGGCAATGGCAATGGGATGTTCTAAGACTGGCTGCTTCACAGGTGGTTCAATTGGTGGCTCACCATTTGCACTCTT